TTGGTCCTGCTGCCCCTTGAGCATCTGCAGCTGCTGCAGAACCAGGCATTTCATCAGCAAATGTGCAGCTGACACCAAGCTGGGGGTGTGTTGATGTGCTGGAAGGGAGGAGGGCTCTGCAGAAGGACCCTATCCACAGGGTGATAGAGATGTCTGTCCTTATATATCTGCAAGGTTAGTGTGTAAATGTGTGCTGTTAGAAAAGCAGGATAAGTTCTGGGCTGGTTGTAGAAAGAGAAAGAAGCCCAGAGGCCAGTGCAAGCAGGCAGCCCTCAGCTTCCACATCATGTCCCCTCCGTGCAGGTTCCTGTCCTTGAGCCCAGGCCCTGAGGTGACCTTGAGAATAAGTGGAAGGCAGAGGTGCTGCTGAGGAAGGAGACCCCCGTGGTGGGGAACAGTCGAAGGTGCCCATTCCCGAGAAGGTGCTGTGTCCATCCCCTGTGTGCCAGGTGAGCTGGGGCTTTGCTGCAGAGCTGCGGGCGCTGATTTGAGCGGCTCCAAGTGCTGAGATGGTGGCACCCAGGAACACAAACTGTGCCTGGCCACGGAGCCTGCAAGGAGGAGCAGAGAGAGCCCTGGCAGTGTGGGGGGCCAGGTTGTCCCTGTGCCTTCCCCTGCAGGCCCTGGCTGTCCCTGCTGGGCCCCTGTCCATCCCCCCCTCAGGTCCCTGCACACCTACTCTCCAGAGCTTGACTCACTGCAGACTTTGCTGGGAAATCTGTGCTGGCAGCTGCATCCTGAGCCCAAGGGCAGTTTGTATCCCCGAGTGCTGATCCATCCTGGGGACCCAAGGGATCCTCTGCCATTCCATCCGTGCAGCAGGAGTCACCCTCATGCCTTTGACTCCCTGCAGAGGAACAAGTGCCATCTCTCTGTTTGGGAGAAGCCAGATGCTGCCCCTGGGCCATCAGAAGTGGTGCTGAAGCCTCTTTCAGCCCAACCTCGGGTGCAGTTTTCTCATCCCCTCAGCGAGTGCCCGCTCCCCCAGCCGGCACTGACCAACCAGGGTGTTTGGCACACGTGGTTTGGTGGTTTGGAGAAACAGCCCGAGACTGGCAGGGGGCCAGAGAACCTCTAGTAACAACCCTGGCAGGTTTTAAGTGACACTGCATTATTCGAGCTTTTGATTAATATACAGCAAGTCAATCAAGTGCTCATGAAGTGAAATCGCTCTCCTCGTCCTCCCACTTAAACACCTTTTTTTGGACTGAATCTTCATATTTTGGAGTATTTTTTGGCTAAATCTCAACTTTTTGCAGTTTGGGGAGTTTATCTCGCTATGTCTTAGAGGTTTTCTGCCTGAATCTCGGTGGTTTTTGCTTTTCTGGGCTGAATCTTGGTGTTTTGGAGGTTTTTATGGTCACAGGATGCCCAGTGAGTTCTAGAGATGGACTTGGGCAGGAGGAACCCCCAAGCCAACGCACTCAGCCCTTGTTTCCCGCCCATCAGGATTTGTCCTTCCCAAAGCTTGGGCGGATGGAGGAGAAGGCTGCGAGGAAGAGGAAGATGCCTTGGGCCCCCCAGGCAGGTGAGGAGGAAGTCAGTGTCCCTTTGGGTGGGTGTTGTGCTGGCTCTGGCAGCCGAGCATGGCCCCCGGCTGCAGGACAACCCCGCTGCCGCCGCCGTCCTGCCGGGGCCGGAGTTGGGGGGATGTCCTTGGCCTTCCCTGTGGTCCGGAGGCAAATCCCCTCCCTGTCCTTCTTGCTTCCTGCCCCAGGCCCCGAGCTGAGGATGGAGAGCCCGGAGGACAAATCCCTCTGGCAGACCCTGGTGGGAGAGGCCGTTTTGAAGGGCTCCACGGCGCAGGAAGGCAGCGGGGAGGAAAAGGGCCGGAGATCCCCCCGCAGGCGGGGCTCCAAAGCCAGCCCAGGGTGCTCTGAGGAGGAAAGACCCAGGCTGTGCCGGGAAGGCGGCCAGAGCTTGAGGCAGAGCTCTGACTTGTTGGTCCCTGAGCAGCCTCCCAGCAAGGAGAAGCCCTTCAAATGCTTGGAATGTGGGAAGAGCTTCAGGCAGAGCTCCCACCTGATCCGACACCAGCAGATCCACACTGGGGAACGGCCCTACACATGTGGGGAGTGTGGGGAGAGCTTCAGCCGGAGCTCCACCCTCCGCAACCACCAGCACATCCACAACAGGGAACGTCCCTACACGTGTTGGGAATGTGGGAAGAGCTTCACGCGCAGCTCCACCCTGATCCAACACCAGCACATCCACACTGGGGAACATCCCTACATGTGTAGGGAATGTGGGAAGAGCTTCAGCCAGAGCTCCAGTCTCCGCACCCACCAGCGCATCCACACTGGGGAACAGCCCTACAAGTGTTCGCAATGTGGGAAGAGCTTCAGTGACGGCTCCACCCTCCGCAAACACCAGCGCATCCACAGTGGGGAACGGCCTTACACGTGTGGGGAGTGTGGGAAGAGCTTCCACCTGAGGTCCAACCTCCGCACCCACCAGCTCATCCACACTGGGGAACGGTCCTACAAGTGCTTGCAGTGTGGGAAGAGTTTTCAGACCAGCTCACATCTCCTCAGGCATGAGCAGACACACACGGATGAGAGGCCCTTCCGCTGCACCGACTGCAGGAAGGGCTTCAAGCGGAACTCCACCCTCGTCAGGCACTGCTGCATCCACACCGGGGAGAGGCCCTACAAGTGTGGGGAGTGTGGGAAGAGCTTCGCCCGCAGCTCTTACTTGACCTCACACCAACGGACCCACCAGTAAGAGAAGCCCTACCAGTGCCCCGACTGCGGGAAGAGCTTTGGCCGTTGCTTCCACCCCGAATGAAGCCCCTGATGATGAGGCAACCCCTGGAGTCCAGTGACTGTCAGTCCATCCCTTTTGACCACAAAGGGCAAGTCCCCTTTCCCAGGGGCAGGTTCTGCCAACAGAACCCTTCTTGGGGGGTGTGTGGAGATTCCTGCCTTGGCTGGGGACCCCCCAAGGTCACTGCTGGAGGTTGAGAGCAGAGATCTCCCCAGGAGCTTTGGTCTGGGGGAGTTCCATCCATCTTTAATTAAGAATTCTTGCTTTTGTGCCAGCTTGAGTAGAATTGCTTCAAGAATTGCTTTAGTGTAGAGCACTGTCCTATCTTATCCTGTACTCCTGGTAGTTTTAGTGTTTCTGTTGTGCAGTAAATAATTGTGATAAAGATCTTTTGTCTGATCATTTGTATCCCTAAATAACTCATTTCTGTCAATAGATCTGATTTGCCATCATTAAAACCTGGGGGGGACAAAGTGTTTCAGTCACAGCTCTTTAATTCCTCTCAACTGAAACTGTTGTCATAATGTAAGGCTGAGATTGGATCCAGCAGCCCCCAGCACCCCAGAAAAGGGGTTAGGTGGGGTCCTGGGTGGGCTTTGAGTGTGTTTGGGAGTCTTTGAGGGGCCGTGGGAAGGTTTTTGGGGGTCCCAGCACCTTTTGGTGTGAGCTGGGTGCTTTATTGAGGGGCAGGTGCCCTCCCAAATCCCACCCAGAGCAGATTGACACGGGGGGACACAGGGGGATCCCCATTCTCGATCCATCTCAGGTCAGTTCTGCCCCCCCCAAACTCGGCTCCACCCCTTGGGATTCCCCCAAGCCCCTCCTCCACTGCCCCCCAATAACCGGGACTGGGCAGGAAGCGGGGAGGGCCCGGCAGTGTCTAACAGAGATAAATCAAGGCAGATCTCTCTTTCTTTTACCCCCTGAGCAGTGACCATCAAGAGGCGTCCCTGCTTCACAGCAGAAGCTCCACACACTTTCAACAAAGTCTGTGGAAGAATCTGCTCTATGAAAGTTGGCCCTGGGCTTTTATGCTTATCCAGTGATGGATGGCCAGTCACATATTGCCAGGCCAGTGAGCAGCTGATCTGTCAAACTCTGCTTCCAAAAGCAGGATGTGTATTGGAAGGTTGGGGAACCAGGCTGGGTTTGGCACAATTCAACACTAAACCAACCCCTTGGCACCAGCAGTAACTCCCCACAGAGAGCTTGCAGTGCTTGCATTGTCCCATCAGATTCTTTTCCAGGTAGAACATCCTGCTACAAGGGGTCTGTTACACCTGCCCCAGAAAGGAGGGGGTAACCCAGGTTCTTATTAATAAATCCCTTGGGGTGAATTAGAGGGAAACGACACTGAATAATCAGTGTTTGAAAATATATATATATATGTAGGGTTTATTTTAGAACAATTTTGTTTCAAAGATAAACAGGTATGTTGCCATTTTGGGTGTTATCATCTCTATCTCTCATCTGCAGCAATATGGCATAAAGAGAACCTTTAGGTTACCTTATGGCATAAGGGAGAGAAGGGAAAGACAGGATAAGGGTGAGGGAGAGTAAGGGAAAGCAAAGCTGAGAGTGGAAAGATGTCTATAGTCACCACCCACAGGGTCCAGTGATGGAACTTGGTAGTTGCAGCTTCCATGTCTGTGAGTTGAAGTGGTGGCCTTGATCCGTTGGGGGTGGGGGAGGGAAGCCCCCACACTCCAAGAAGTTATGAGTTATTATATCCATGGATGGTGTCCCGGGCCATGCCACGAACCCCCAACATCTCCTGGGGCTGCGCAGAGTTCCTGTGAGGGGCCTGGGAAAAGGGTTTTTCCTGCCTTTCAGGATTGGCGGGGGGGGATGGGCTTTGATGGGCCATCAGAGGTATAATGCAAAAGTCCTGCAGAAGCCTGCAAAAGTCCCTTGGCAATCCTAGAATGCATAAATCATGAACCATTTCAGTCTCTGACACCACCCCGTGATTTATGCATTCAATAATTTCTCTTCTTTTGTTGTTCACTGTGAATCTTCTTTGTGGGCGGCGCATTTCATGTAGTGGACAGAAAGAGAGAAGAGTAAAGAAAAGGAAGAGAGAGCATAAGTCTTTTCCCAGTGCAATGCAATTCCCAGGAAAAACCCCAAACCTTACAGTAAAATAGTAAGCATATGGGACATAACAGGATCTCAATAGCTACAATCAAATTTCCTAACACTAACAAAGTTACAAACATCAGGATTTAATACTGACACAATCTAATTTTCATTAGCCACTGTCTCCAACCCGTGAATAATCAGGTATCCTTTAATGCATGGTGTGTGTGAGGGATTCTATAATAATGTGTCTGTTAGAGGGGCCAATGTGTCTTGAAATTAGACCTGAAATTACACATCAGTTCTTATGCAAATACATTGAGTTACTTGGGAGTTGGTACAAGGCTTTCTTATATTCTCTTTAGGTCACACTTTCCTTTCTTTTGTCTAAATTTAGTTTAATTTGTTAATATTTTGAGAAATTTAGCCAAATATAAAATTTGATGCCTTCTGAGGCAGAGGGTTAATGCATCTAATACATATTTGTATGATTCCAAATATGCATAAATTCTTGTACCAACTCTTAGGCTAAATTTGGTGGAGTTTCTTGGTTCTCAGTTTTGATTGAGACAGAATTATACGTATCTAAAAGCTTCTCCCAATTTGTTTTTCAATAAAAAGACAAAATAAACTTGACAAAAATTAAACTAGCAATACATAAAATGGCTTGTCTTACACAATCTTACCAGTGAGTTGCTCATGATAAAAACACAAAAAAGTCAACAATTATTAATAAACTGATAATACAAGCAATTTTGGGAGTAGAGGAGACACAAACACAATGTTTGTGTTAAATTTTACATATTGCAAAACTCCTGAGACAGAAATACACACAGACGTGCATATCACAAAGTTATTAAGATAAAAACACAAACACATGCAAACCATCAGTGCTGCAAAGAACAGTAGAACTCTCCAGTCCTGTTGCCACTTCGTTTTCTCATGGCATACTTGTAAACTGATAACAAAAGCAGTTGTGGGGGCAGTTCTCTCTTCTGCCCATTGCAGCAATTGAAAGCTTTATCGCTCTCACGCAGTTTGATCTCATCTGCTGGCAGGTTCCTGCAAAAAGACGAAATCTGGCCCACTATGGACCCATTATTAAAAAGAAGGAATTATCTGTTTATCCAACTCCTTTTCTTATCTGGCATGATGCCACCAGGGCAGCAATAATGGAGAAGTCTGGAACATGTTTTGTCCAAAAAGCAAATAAACCCAGAGCATGCTGGAGCTCCTTTTTACTCCTCAGCATCTTTATTTGCTGTAGGGTGGCCAAGGTGTCAGAGGGAATACACACGGCTACTTTTTCGGTGGGAATTTGAAGTCTCAGACTTTCCAAGTGGGTGATAGTATTTGTCTGGTCCACTGTGGTGACATGAGCAATCTGGGCAATCAATTCAGCTTTGTTATGTCCAGCAGCTGTTTGTGAGCCAGTGTCAGCACCGAGGTAACTCACTGGCAGCTGCCACTGCCCATCAGATTTATGGACAGGCCCCCCTCCCCGAGGATAGTTTATCAATCTATCTATCTATCTATCTATCTATCTGTAGGGTTTAGTTTAGAACAATTTTGTCTCCATGTAAAGTAGGTTTGGGGCAGTTTTGGCTCCTGTCCATAGTGATATAAAAACATAAAAATAACACTTCCCCTCTCTGGCTCCAAGCCCAGCCTGTCCCCTCCAGGGGTGGGTGTTCCCCCCTCTGCCCCAGGTGGTTCCTTTGCCCATGGGCAGCAAAGCCCCTGCTGCTTCTGCAACTGGAGAGTGTTGGAGCCATGGACCATTAACATTCCAGTCTCTCCCAGCTCTGCATCGCAAAAGTCAAGAGGGATCAATCTGTCACCTCAAAGTGGATCAATCCCACTGAAAATGGCTCAATCCCACCCCAAAATTCCTGTGTTTCTTATTTTCCCTATGTAATTCTGGGGCAGCCAGTGCCACCTCTCAGCTCTCTGCAGGCTGAGGCTTGGCCTTGCACTTTTGCCTTTGCTGGATTTCTTCATCAAATATTTCTCTCTCCCTGAAAAGAAAAATTTGGAAGGTTTTCAATAATCTGGACATCTTTAGACCATCTGGACAAATTACAGTTTGCAGTGTTGGAACAGCTCAGCCAGAACGTTTTCCATGTTTAATCATTTGTTCCCATCCCTCCCAGGAGGGAGGACACTGAACTCTTCCACAGAAACAGAAAACTAGTAACAAAAATTCAGAGACTACTGAAAATGAAAAATACCTTTTGCTCACAGGTGGCCCTTTCATGTCCTTCTCTTCTGCCTTCCTGCCTTCCATGTTATCCACGGCAGCAGTTGCCTAGATCATGGCCCAAAAAAGCTTTTTAATTCCTTTATAATCATTCCCGAAAACTGAATCACAACTGGGGGGTGGGAGACCAAACAGGTGTTCAGGCTGGAGAGCCAGAGGCAGCTCCCCAGAGAGAGGCCTCAGAGATAGCAATGGAATCCATCAGATGACCTTGGGCACTGTGAGAGTGAGAGAAGAAGCTGCAAACTTCAGGGGAAGGACACCTGTGGTGAACACCTGTGACCAAAGTTAAAAATGAGAAGGGAAAGACTGTTTTAGTTTACCCCACTTATGAAATATGAATTAATTTATAATTAAGAATGACAATGTGTTGTTAGAAAAATTTGAATAGTGTGGATAAGTTTGAAAAAGTGTGTGACAGTATGTTAAATAGGTCCATGCATGCCTCTTTCGCTATAGCCTCAAAATTCCTGTGCTAGGTGGGATAAAAATGCTTTAATGTAAACATTGCATGCCTTTTCTGCCATCTTGGGGTGGACGAGGAGGACGGAAGAATAAAACTTCTATTTTTAGTGACACAGTGAGATTGTCTTTATTAACAGCCAACAACAGTAAAAGA